ACCTGGTCTAGTGGAAGGTGTCCCTGCTGCTGGCAGGGGGGTTGGGACTGGAGGATCTTTAAGGTCCCTTCCAACCCAAACCATTTGATGATTCTGTGATTTTACTAATGGCTAAACTCTCCCCAAAGTTTATAAATGGAACTCTGGGGTTTTTTTAACTAACAGTAAAGAAGTTTTCAGTGGCTCAGGCCATTGACCTGTGAAACATGTTCTTCAGTTTCTTGTGCCATGGATCTCGTGGCAGTGTGGTGCTCTTGTGAAATGTCACTAAAATGGACAGATGTGGAGTATACACAGGCCTTTAAATAACGTACAACTCTTTGTGCACAGCAGCGTTTTTAAATACTGCTGAGCTCTCTTCTTCCTTACCCGCCACGCTCCTTCATTTCCTGAATTCCATGTTGTCACTTAAATCTAAATTAACTTGTCAGCTTGTGAAAGTAATATTGGCAAAATGTTTTTCTTCACTAATACCTTGGTCTTAATGACCACAGAGACTCGTAGTTATGACAAAAGCTTTGTTACTGAACAAGCAGGGGTCTCGCTGTGTTGGCTTTTTGCTACTTCATCAGCAGCATCAGGCATTGAATATGTTCTTTAAGAACAATGGGCTTAAAAGCTACACGAGTTTAAGTCAGTGTTTTCAAGATGAGCTAATTTGAAGGAAAAATAAGAATATATTTAAAACAATAATGTTTGGAAGACATCAGATTATGATCCCGGCACATAAATAAGAATTAAAAGTATTATGGAATCTAGCGACGATGGCTGCAGGGAAGAGAATCTCATCCCCACTTAAACTTGTTATATTTCAGTATTCTTCAAATTTCTGCTCTGTTTTAGAGCATGTGTATACACTGAACACCTTTTGAGGCTTTTTTCACTTAAATTCTGAGTAATTTTAATAATTAGGTGGCACCTTTTTCCTTTCTTTTGAGGAATTCGATGTCACAAAGCAGAGGAATTTCATTCTGTTTCCTGCCAAAATGCTGATGATACTCTGGGGCTTTTCAGTGATTCATAAAGTGCTACGTAGCAAGTTAAAAATGCAGTGAGTGCTCTGAGCAATTAAAATGTCAGGAAGAATAAAACCAGCAGAGTTTAATTATCTAAATTAGTTTGCCTAAGATACCAGGGTTAATGCTGCCCTTGCAAAACACACTATGAAATACGTGATATTTATTCTTGGAGACCTGTTTTTCACCTGCGCGTCTCTCTGCAGATGCTTACGACAGCAGCATGTGCTGTATTGGAGATGAGGCTTTTGATCTGAAGACTTGCCTGTGAGAAGGTCCCTAATTTAGTCTCCATCATCCTCAGGGATTCCTTAGCATCTGCTGTCCTTAGCCCAGTTCTTGAATAATCACAGAATAGAATCACAGAATCATAGTGGTTGGGAAAGACCTTTAAGATCATTGAGTCCAACCATAAACCCAACACTACCAATGCCACCTCTAAACCATGTCCCTCAGCACCTCATCTACCCATCCTTTAAATCCCACCAGGGATGGTGACTCCACCACCTCCCTGGGCAGCCTGTTCCAATGCTTGACAACCCTTTTGGTGAAGAAGTTTTTCCTCATGTCCAATCTAAACCTCCCTTGGCACAACTTGAGGCCATTTCCTCTCGTTCTGTCATGAAGGATCTAATATGAGGCCTGGCACTTGGGTGGTGTGTCCTTTTGAACAGCACTAACAGTTAATTCCCTCCCTGTCTTTTCACAGAGGTTCGGATCGCTGCGGTTGAAGCTCTCTGTATGTTGGCTCAGTCCTCACCTTCTTTTGCTGAGAAATGCCTGGATTTTTTGGTTGACATGTTTAATGATGAAATTGAGGAAGTGAGATTGCAGTCAATCCACACGATGAGAAAAATTTCCAACAACATCACGCTGCGGGAAGACCAGCTGGATACCGTGTTAGCTGTCTTGGAGGTAAGAAATTCTTGAGGAGAGGGAGAAATTGCATTCTTGGGGGTTTTTTTTGTGGTGCTGTCTATACAATTATATAATGCTAATCAGCCCCTTCCTCTGAGCTGAAACAAGGCCAAGTGCTGGGTCCTGCACTTGGGTCACAACAACCCCATGCAACGCTCCAGGCTTGGGGAGGAGTGGCTGGAGAGCTGCTGGGCAGAGAGGGACCTGGGGGTGTTGGTTGACAGCAGCTGAACATGAGTCAGCAGAGTGCCCAGGTGGCCAAGAAGGCCAAGGGCATCCTGGCCTGGATCAGCACCAGTGTGGCCAGTAGGACCAGGGCAGTTCTGTTCTCCCTGTGCTGGGCACTGGTGAGGCCGCAGCTCGAGTGCTGGGTTCAGTGTTGGGCCCCTGAGTCCAAGAAGGACATGGAGGTGCTGGAGCGTGTCCAGAGAAGGGCAACGGAGCTGGGGAAGGGTCTGGAGCACAAGTGTGCTGAGTTCCCTTGTGGCTGAGGGAACTGGGGTTGTTGAGCCTGGAGAAAAGGAGGCTGAGGGGAGACCTTGTGGCTCTGTCCAAGTCCCTGAAAGGAGGGTGCAGAGAGGTGGGGGTTGGTCTCTTCTCCCAGGTAATCAATGATAGGATGAGAAGTAATGGCCTCAAGTTATGCCAGGAGACGTTCAGGTTGGATATTAGGAAAAGTTTATTCTCCAGAAGAGTGGCCAGACATTGGAACAGGCTGCCCAGGGAAGTGGTGGAGTCACCGTCCCTGAAGGTATTCAATGAACCTCTAGATGTAGCACTCAGGGACATGGTTTAGTGGGCACAGTGGTGATGAGTTGACAGTTGGACTGGATGATCTTGCAGGTCTTTTCCAACCTTAATGATTCTGTGGTTCTATTCACCTTTTTGGTTTTATTTTTTTCCCCTCTCCTTTGAAGACCCCCAAAGTCTCTTAAGGTCTATCAGCTTGTAATCAACAGGACAACAGAATACTTTTGAAACAGATGAATTTCAGATAAAAACTCTTGCCTTGATCACTGTGCTGTTGCCTCATGTGTGTTTCCTTCTGTCTTGTTTCGTGGTCCAGCACTCTACACCACCTCATGTTGAGTACAACTTCATTTTCTTTCTATTTCCTTTGTTCTGCTGCTTTGGCTACACCTTTACTCACCGAGCAGAGACAGGACAAGGGCCTGAAATCAGAGAATCACAGACTGGTCTGGGTTGGAAGGGACCTTAAAGCTCATCCAGTTCCAGCCCCCCTGCCATCAGCAGGGACACCTTCCACTAGACCAGGTTGCTCAAAGCCTCATCCAACCTGGCCTTCAACACTTCCAGGGAGGAGCAACCACAGCTTCTCTGGACAACCTGGGACACTGGCTCACCACCCTCACACCAAACAATTTCTTCCTCACATCTCAGCTCCATCTCCCCTCTGACACTTTCAAGCCATCACCCCTTGTTCTCTCACTCCCTGCCCTTGGCCAAAGTCCCTCCCCAGCCTTCCTGGAGCCCCTTCAGGTACTGGAAAGAACTCTCTCTCCTGACTGTTCAGAGGGTTTGTTGCTGTGCTCTACAGAGTAGATTTGGCCTTTCCCAACCAGTCAGTACTCAGCCAGGATCCAGGGGACTCAGCTTCTGGTTCCTGAAGGAAACCAGAAGGGTTTGATCTGGGAAAGATTTCACTTGTATGATCAGTGCTGTGCCAAACTCCTTCCTCTCAAACCTCTTCTATTTGCTGAGCTATAGCCCTTAAGATGTGGGGTTTTTATTTTGCTGTATGTGGTAGGCAAGTCTCTGCTTCTTTTGGGTGGTCTCCCAGCCTCAGGCAGTGCTGCAAATCTTCTCTTTTCTGTCTTGTCACCCACTATTTGCTTGACCCAGGGCAACAGTGGTATTTTTCAGTTGCACCCCAGGAAGAAGCAAAGGAACTAACCTATTTTATCAGTCTGTAACAAGTGCTGTGGAATGTGAGCTGAATTTGCAAACACAGCCATGAGTTTTAGGTGCCTCAAATTTTTATGTAGTTGATTTATATTTGTTCAAGCTGGGGACTCATGTATGAAAACATCTTGGTTACACTGGGGTTCTGTATTATGCTTCTGTGCTGACGTACTAGGTATGATAAATATAGTTCATATCAGAATAATTATTATCAGGTATTAGGATAGGTAAAATGTGAGAATTATTAAATATTTTAATGTATTTGTCTGATTATGAAAAGTTCTTGCTTGATTTCTGTGAAATCCATCTTCCAGTACCAAAATAAAGGATATGGGAAAAATAGCATTAACTTGGTGCCTGTATTTGTTCCTAGAGTGTAAATATGGAACAGCTGGGAATAGGTTAACTTCTGTTTCCACCCCACCCCTTTGACTTTATCTGAAGAACACTACCAGCTCTTCCTTGCTGTTCTGACCAGGCTTTGGATCCTTCTTTCCCTGTTGTCCTTGATCTCAGTTTGTTGAGTTGTGCTCCTCTCTGTCCCTTCATATTCTTCTGCCTTGCTCATCCCATGCTGCTCTCCCGGTGATCTGAGCATCTCACGTGGAGTATGTTACCTCTGTGGTCATTTCATCCCAGTCCTTACAGTACATCATCATTTTTGGTCATAAAATAAGGAATATCTGGACAAGCTTTCCTCCTCTGATCATTTGTGTGTGTTGACTGTCACTTCAGAGCCTTTACAAGAGGAATACTCGTTCTTCTTTTGTGCCAGACAGTGATGAATGAGCTGTTGATACTAAACAAATTATAATTAAAAAAACCCCAAACAACCCATTGATGCACATCTAGTTCTTATATCCTGTCAAATTTTCATGTTTTATCCAGCAGTGCCACACAAATGCTCATAGCAAGGGAAAATAATACATTGATTTGGAACAGCAAGGTGGGTTTTGGCAGAAGGAATGGAATTAATTAAGCTGAAGTTCAGCCACAGCGTTTCTAAAAATACTGCTTGGAGATTACATAAGCTCCTCTGTAAAACATCACCCTGGCCTAGAAAATAAAGTTCCTTTATCCTATAGATGAGCACTGTTAATTTAGTGTGTCCAGCCATGGACATGTCCTCAACCCTCATGCACACCTCCTGACTGCTGGTGATGGGGTTAAAGGCTTGTGGAATTGAGCTTCAGGTCTTGAATCACACAGAATCCCAGAACTGCCTCGATTGGAAAAGACCTTTAAGATCAAGTCTAATCATGAACCCAACACTGACAAGTCCCCAACTAACCCATGTCCCTCAGCACTATGTCTACACGACTCTTCAATCCCTCCAGGGATGGGGACTCCACCACTGCCCTGGGCAACCCCTTCCAATGCCTCAGAACCCTTTCAGCAAAGAAATTCTTCCTCACATCCCATCTCAACTGCCCTTGGTGCAACTGGAGCCCATTTCCTCTTGTCCTGTCCCTTGTTCCTTGGTTGAACAGACCCACCCCCACCTCTCTCCACCCTCCTCCAAGGGACTTGCACAGAGCCAGAAGGTCTCCCCTCAGCCTCCTTTGCTCCAGGCTCAACACCCCCAGTTCCCTCAGCCACAAGGGAACTCAGCACACTTGTGCTCCAGACCCTTCCCCAGCTCCGTTGCCCTTCTCTGGACACGCTCCAGCACCTCCATGTCCTTCTTGGAGTGAAGGGCCCAAAATTGAACACAATACTCAAAGTGCAACCTCCCCAGTGCCAAGGATGATAAAAGGCTTCTCTGAAGATGACAGACCAGTCTTTGGTGATTGTTTTGCTGAGTTACCCAGCGCTTTCCTGTTCTGTTATTGCCTGTGCCTAAGGGTAGAACGTCACCCAAACCAAACAGTGGTTCTTGCTCTGCTTGAGAAGGTCAGTGGTGAAGCAGTTCCCATTCATTCCAGTAAATGAAGCACATGTGTGGATGAGACCAGCAGTTGCCTGATCTGTCACTTCATCTGTGTTTAGCTTTGATAACTAGAAACGTGCGCTGCTTTTCAGGTGCCTCTAACGCTAATTCAGCCAAGGAACAGGAACTGCTGCCTTTAAAGTAAATGCCTATAGATCTTAGAACCATTTGGTTGGAAAAAACCTTTGAGATCATCGAGTCCAACCATATACAGGCACATCTCTCTTGTTGCTCAAAGGTTTCTTGAGTTGTGTGGGTGTTTTTGGTTTTGTTTTTGTATTTTAGGATTCTTCAAGGGACATTCGGGAAGCGCTTCACGAACTGCTGTGTTGCACCAATGTCTCGACTAAAGAAGGCATCCATCTTGCACTGGTGGAGCTGTTGAAAAACCTCACAAAGTATCCTACAGACAGAGAATCCATATGGAAGTGAGTGTTCAGTGTCCTTCTGTGCCTACTTATTTTCCTGTTCCGTTTAGTAATTGAGATGTTAGGCAGATATTGAACTAGCTAAGGAGGCCACGGGTATTGCAGGCATACAGTCCTCTTATTCTATATATCTTTGGAATCATGGCTATACTAAGCATTGTAAATATCCATGATTGCTGTAGAAACTGTGTTTCTTTGTTGCTTGTCAGTCTGGGAATCAAGAACTGATGACCACTCCTGGAAATAATAGTTCTATTATAAACACTCAAAGCATTCCCAGAAGAGCTGAATTCAACCTTCAGTTTAAAGCCTCACCTCTTCTGTGCACCTGATGTCTTGTACTTACTCACCACTGCATTAAATAGGAATATTTACCAGCAGTTGATTGAATCAGTCATGACAAGTGGATTGGCTGTGTGGCATTGTGCTGTTGGAGGGGCTTCTTCTGTCTGAACAATAATAGTGAACATTTGTGTGGGGGTGTTTTTTTGGTTGTTTTAATGGAAGCCACAAAAGAAGTGATGCTCCAGCCCACATGGTTTGAGATGGAATTCTTGACTATCATTGGAAATACTTATTTAAGTCTGCTTTGTCTTCCATTGGTTTTACAACTCTTACATTGGATTTGGAGTTTGGTGGAGTTTGAGGGTTTTGGGTTTTGTTATTTAGTTGGGTTTTTACCTCCTCACTCTTTTATTTCTGAAGAAAAAAAATACATTTGTTAGCATTTAGGATGAAAGCTTTTCTTGGGTTGTATAGCTTCAGGTGTTAAGTGTTTCTTGGACAGTTTAAATAAACAATTTTTACTACTGGTTGCTTTTTCAAGCTGTCCTCCCAGTTTTCTTGGATCCTATCAATTATTAATGCAAATACTCAGCCATGAAGAGACAGTAAACTTGGACAGGAGGATTTTGATGCTGACCAGCTCCTCAAAATGTCCCTGCACTATAAATTAATAATGCTTTAAAATGTATTTTTGTGATGTACATGTTCACTAAGAAATATTTCAATTTGTGTATTTTCAGATGCTTGAAGTTTCTGGGAAGCAGGCATCCCACTTTGGTGCTGCCTTTAGTCCCAGAGCTGCTGAGCACACATCCTTTCTTTGACACCCCAGAACCAGACATGGATGACCCAGCCTGTATCTTTTTAATGAAATAAACACTTTGTGAGAACTGGAAAGGGCTAGAATCAGGTGGAGAGAAAGATGAATCCCTAATCAAATAGCTCAGTAATGATTTGAGTAAATTTGAGTTGAGGATTGAAGGAACGTTTCAGGGGAGAAAGCTGTTTTTTACCTCAGTGCACTTTCCTGCTCTGAACCAAATAATGTTCTTTTAGAGAATGTTCTGGAGGTAACTTGCCACCAGATTTTATGGAGATCTATTATATGAAGACAGTCCTGGGAGCCAGAAACTACAAGGTAGACCTGAATGCTGTATTATCTGGCCTAAACTGTTAATTAAAAACATGGGTTTGTCTGATTCAAAGGTCTTGACAAACTTGAATCAGGTTGGTGGAGTAGCTTCAGCTGAAAATTTGGAGAGGATTTTGGGCAAAGAGGAGAAATTGGTTTGTCAAGTGGAAGTCTTTATGCTTGGCAACCCATGGATGCAGAAGATTTTTCAGGAGGTGATTTTTCAGGAGGTGAGAGGCGTGGGTTCAGTCCCTTCTGTGGCTGAACCTGCTTCTTCCCCATGCAGGCGAGTGCCCAGATGATCATAAACTTTGCATCCTGTTAAAGTTCTTCTGCTTGGGGTCAACCCTGTTGCAGGTGATTTGCCCCAGTATTTGGGATAACTGATTAAAGCCTTTAGCTACCCTCTGTGTTTCTCAGGCTCTCAAACTGTGAAAATATTTTTGCTATTCCAGAATCATCTTCCCATGTTTGATTCTTTAGTTTGTTTTAAGTCTGTGTAAGAGGGATGTTTTTCAAGGGGTAGCACCATAGGAGATCAGCAATTTTCAAAGGCTCAGAGATAAACATTTAATTTTGGATGATGTTTGGGTACCAAACTGGTAAGCACAGTGTAAGCTTTGAAGAAGAGTGAAACTCCACCTAATGAGCATGTTCTGCATTTCTAATCCCTGGCTTCTCGCCTTTGTGTTGCCTCTGAGCAGTCCTGCGTTGGCAGTAACATCCTTCCTCCAATATGGCCCATCCTGTAATGTTTGTGCTTTGTAGTTTGCTTTCATCTGCTCAGACAGCTGCCTCTTTGGGTTTTGTTCAGCATTTTCCAACTGTAAAGAACTTCCTAAACAATCTCCAGCAAAGAAAAGGTTGTTGAGTTGTTGTTTTAATTTACCATCCGCAAGGAGCTCTCCTTCATGTTGTTTATCTTTCTTTAACAATCCATTTCGATAGACATTGCTGTTCTGGTTCTGATTTTTAACGCTGCTAAGAGTTGCCCCACAATGCCTGCCCTCTTCTCTGATCATACCTTCAGACATTACGCCTATCTTCGGGACAGCCTCTCTCATCTGGTCCCTCCCTTAAGAGTAAGTTGGTTTGCACTTTACCACTCTGTTATGAATATTGCTGGTCTCTTCCCTGTCTCTCAGTGTGTAACACTTTGATTCTTAAAGTTTTTTTTTCTCCCAAGCTCCAAGCAAATGTTGGAGAGCAGTGAAGGGGAAAGGGATCTGAGAGTCCTGGTGGACAGCAGGATGACCATGAGCCAGCACTGTGCCCTCGTGGCCAGGAAGGCCAATGGCATCCTGGGGTGCATTAGAAGGGGTGTGGTTAGTAGGTCGAGAGAGGTTCTCCTCCCCCTCTACTCTGCCCTGGGGAGGCCACATCTGGAATATTGTGTCCAGTTCTGGGCCCCACAGTTCAGGAAGGACAGGGAACTGCTGGAGAGAGTCCAGCACAGAGCCACCAAGATGATGAAGGGAGTGGAGCATCTCCCTGCTGAGGAAAGGCTGAGGGAGCTGGGGCTCTTTAGCTTGGAGAAGAGGAGACTGAGGGGAGACCTCATTAATGCTTATAAATATGTAAAGGGTGAATGTCAGGAGGATGGAGCCAGGCTCTTCTCAGTCATGCCCAATGGTAGGACAAGGGGCAATGGGTGTGAGCTGGAACACAGGAGGTTCTGCTTAAACTTGAGAAGAAACTTCTTTACAGTGAGGGTGCCAGAGCCCTGGGACAGGCTGCCCAGGGAGGGTGTGGAGTCTCCTTCTCTGGAGACATTCAAAACCCGCCTGGACGCCTTCCTGTGTAACATTGTTTAGGTTCCTGCTCTGGCAGGGGGGTTGGACTGGATGATCTTTCGAGGTCCCTTCCAGTCCCCAACATTCTGTGATTCTGTGAATATTGAAATGTGCATTAAGTAAGGTGAGACAAATATTAAATGGTTACAATATGGATTTTGTAATATTTTGAGGAGAATAATAACATTACTGCTCTCAAGTGAGAATGGCACATGGTTCTCTGGTTAGGAAAGAATACAGGAGGGCAGGATTCCTGGGAGCTTTCTGTAGCTCTGACTGTGTGGGGAAGGGCAGCTTAGTCTTTGTAGATCTTGCAAAATGTGACTTATCTCCTACCTAATCAGTTTACTCAGGGGTGAGATGCATTCCCTGCTGCTTTGCAGCATGTGTTTCCTTCATGGAAGTACAGGTGGGACTGAAGTTGATCATAAGTCATTTTACAGCTCATGAAATTAATTGTGGTTTGTGTGGTCTTGGTCTTCCCTTGATTTCACAGTGTCATAGTTAGTAGATGAGGAAGATGTTTCCCTCAGAGGGATGTTGACGTTTAACCTGGAGATCTCTAGCTGCAAGTGGATTATAAAATTGAAAGTATTAACTAACAAAGGTGCAGACTTAGAATCACAGAATGTTGTGAGTTGAAAGGGACCCACAAGGATCATGGAGTCCAACTCCTGTCCCTGCACAGGACAATCCCAACATTCAGACCATGTCCCTGAGGGCCTTGGCCAAATGCTGCTTGGTGCCATGGGCACCTCCCGGTGGAGCCTGTTCCAGTGCTCCACCACCCTCTGCCTCAAGAACCTTTTCCTCATGGCCAACCTCACCCTCCCCTGCCACATCTTCCTGCCATTCCCTCTGCCCCTGGCATTTGTTGGTGGCCAGAGAGAAGAGCTCAGCGCCTGCCCCTCCTCTTCCCCTTGGGAGGAAGCTCTAGACCACGATACAAATTTGGAATTTGAGAAATAAATTGGTAGTTGTTAAACATGTGCAGCATTTTGCAGTGTTGTTACTTGTGTTCAACCTTTCTGTACACGTGTTTCTTCTTGCTTAGTTACCAGGTAGAAAGCTGGTGTCCTCACCTGTCTCTCCCAGTATTACACCCCATGAAGATCCCTCCCAGCAGTTCTTGCATCAGAGCCTGGAGAGAGTTTACAACCTTCAGCACCTCGACCCGCAGGGCATACAGGAGCTGCTGGAGTTTACCATCCGGTAAGGCTGCAGGCTGAGCTCTTCATGGGAAGATGGGTTGGGATTCCCAGTTTCTCCCAAGCAGGTGATTTGTTTCTGACTATCAGTGTTGGACTTTGCCATCAGGCACTTGGTCTGAGCCTTCTTCTAGAGAGTGTTGTGATAAAACAGTATTCACAGCCTGTTTGAAACAAAAGTGGTGGATGGTCTCAGCTCTTGCTCTGTCCCACTGAATGAGCAGTGTGTGTTTTAGGGGAACATCTTTTCAGAACGTGGTAGGAGGCCAGGTAAGGGTGCTCTTCTTGGGCTGGTCACTTATGGTAAAACACACTTCCAGTTTTTACAGCATCGTGTGTCATTCTTGGTTCTCTGTCCCTATATCAGTCCCTCATTTTAATAATATTATTTTTAATGTATGAGGCCACAGTTTTTTGTTTCATTTTTATAGGAAGAGAGGTTATCTCTCTCTTCCTATAATATTATCCCTTTGCTCTTCTAATTTCCAAGTCCTATGGCCTTTCATTTAGCAGGAGAGGACCTGCTTCTGGTGCTGCTTTGGGTTCTTAGCACCGGTCCCACTTATAAAGGACAGGACTTTGGCATTCTTCATCAGTTTGAAAACTGAAGAAAGATTTTCCTGGAATAGACAATGGTACTGTGTGCTGTTGTATAGATAGGGGTGTACAGGATGGCTTCTGAATGTGGGTTTTATGCTGCCTCTTCCATTTCATCTCTGGACTGGTTTACACAAACAAAACACTTGAAAAAGATCCATTCAATATGATTCCCCTGCTTGGAAAGAAGGAAAGAGTCTTATTTTGCAAGTTAGAAAAACAATCTAAAATGCTTTGTTTGGAATATGGAATTCCAAAAAGCTTTATTTTTTTTTCTTCCTCCAAAATAGCTGCCTCTTCTGTGTGTGTAACTGTAAATTGCTGTCACACTCACCTGCAGTGATGAATAAATAGTGCGTTCCTCGCTGAAAACCCAGCTGTGAAAACTATATGGTGTCTCCTCAGCTCTTTTGAAGCTACTATGTGCAGCCTAAAACACAATCTCAAAGCATTTAATGCTTGAAACAGGTAATCTCATGGCAGAACGTCCAGAATCTTAGAGGTATGATGAAGGTCTGGAAACCTCACAGACTGTATATTTTAGATTTTGAGGGTAGGAATCATGTCAGAGATGGCTGCATATGTAACTTATATGCAGTAAAGGACAGCAGTGCTTTGGAGGTGATGGAAATTATTGGCCTGGCTTTTTTCTTGCTGGGTTCACCACCCACGAACTGTATTAAACCAGCTGCTGTTTTTCTGCCCTTAAGAGAAGGGAGGATTTAAGACAAAACCCAAAGAAAGTGTTAGAGGTTATTTTCCAGAGGGTGAGAGTTTCCTGCACCAACAGTGTGGTTGCTGAGAGGAGAGGGACAGAAGAAACTCAGAGCAGTGGTTCATTCTGTGCTGGGACATAACTCCCTCCCCCTTTATCAATATTATCATTGAGGGAAATGACACGGAGCTCGTGGAGCTGGTGTCTACTTGGGATGTACATTCCTGACCATGCTCAGGACTGACACTCTTCACAGAATCACAGTGTCAGGGATTGGAAGGGCCCTCGAAAGATCATCCAGTCCAATCCCCCTGCCAGAGCAGGAACCTAAACAATTTTACACAGGAAGGCGTCCAGGCGGGTTTTGAATGTCTCCAGAGAAGGAGACTCCACACCCTCCCTGGGCAGCCTGTCCCAGGGCTCTGTCACCCTCACTGTAAAGAAGTTTCTTCTGAAATTTAAGCAGAACCTCCTGTGTTCCAGCTCACACCCATTGCCCCTTGTCCTACCACTGGGCATCACTGAGAAGAGCCTGGCTCCATCCTCCTGACATTCACCCTTTACATATTGATAAACATTAATGAGGTCACCCCTCAGTCTCCTCTTCTCCAAGCTAAAGAGCCCCAGCTCCCTCAGCCTTTCCTCAGCAGGGAGATGCTCCACTCCCTTCATCATCTTGGTGGCTCTGTGCTGGACTCTCTCCAGCAGTTCCCTGTCCTTCCTGAACTGTGGGGCCCAGAACTGGACACAATATTCCAGATGTGGCCTCACCAGGGCAGAGTAGAGGGGGAGGAGAACCTCTCTTGACCTACTAACCACACCCCTTCTAATGCACCCCAGGATGCCATTGGCCTTCCTGGCCACGAGGGCTCTTCCCCCAGGCTCTGCAGCTGAAACTGCAAGACAGACTTTTTAGCAAATTGCTCTTTGTGGTTCAGTTTCTCCATCTATACAACAGCTATTTTTTTGTTTGTTTGTTTGTTTTGCCAGGATGTTGAAATCTGTTTAAGATTTGTAAGGAAATAGAATTAGTGGAGTTGGGAACTGGAGAAGACTGGGAAATGGAATATCTGCGTAGCTGTTAGCTGAGGGGTGGCATCCTGCTCCCTGTTAGTGTGTAGAGATGCATTAAGTATGATACCGTAGAATCACAGACTGGTTCGGGTTGGAAGGACCTTCAATATGATCTAGTTCCAACCCCCCTGCTGTGGACAGAGTTGCCAACCACTAGATCAGGTTGCCCAGGGCCCCATCCAACCTGGCCTTGAATGCCTCCAGGGATGGGGCATCCACAGCTTCTTTGGGCAACCTGGGCCAGTGTCTCACCACCCTCTGCGTGAAAAATTTCCTCCCAATATGTCACCTAAATCTCCTCTCTTAGTTTAAAACCATTTCCTTGTCCTGTCACTCTCTGCCCATGTCAAAAGTCGCTCTCCCTCCTGTTTCTGAGCTTCCTTCAGGTACTGGAAGGCTGCAATGAGGTCTCTCTGGAGCCTTCTCTTCTCCTTTCCTCAGCAGAGAGGTGCTCCAGCCCTCTGATCATCTTCCTGGCTCTCCTCTGGACCTGCTCCAACAGCTCCACACCTTCCTCGTGCTGGGGGCTCCAGGCCTGGACACAAAACTCCAGCTGGGGCCTCAGAAGGGCAGAGCAGAGGGGGACAATCCCCTCCCTGTCCCTGCTGCCCACCCCTCTGTTGATGCAGCCCAGGACACAGTTGGCCTTGGGGCTGCAGTCACACACTGCTGCCTCATGTCCAGCTTCTCCTCCACCAGCACCCCCAAGTCCTTCTCAGCAGGGCTGTTCTCCATCAGTTCTTCTCCCACTCTGTGCACACCCCTGGGATTGCCCTGATACAGGAATTGCCCTGATACAGGAATTAAGCACCAGGAGTCTGTTCTTTTCTGTCTGGGGAAAGATGAGATGGTGTCACTACGTGGGGCTCAGGCTGGCTCTGCTGTTGTTGCACTGAAGGAACACACAGCCCCTCTGCTTAGGAGAGATTTTCTTTGGCTGCAAATTGTACAGATCATCTCCTGGATTTTTTTTGAAGGTGTCAGCGCTCAGGAACTCTCTGGTTTGGCAGAGTCAAAGTTTCAGAATTGCATCATAAATGCAAAAATAAATCTAAAATTAAAAAAAAAGGATCATCTGAAGAAAAAAAAAATGTTGTTTTTCGTAATACCATAGGAAATATGGAAGTAGAGTGACAATTGTAGTACATTTTGGATCAAAGCAAAATGCAGAAAACAGAGACATGTTGAGTCCACATCATCTAACCTATTTTCAGTTCTACAACAAAAAAGGAGGTTTGTTTCCTCAGTACACACTTTTCATTTTAAAACATGTCTAAGAGTAGAGAACTAAAGCCTTTTTGGGTTCTATTAAGAATCTTTTTTTTCTGTGAAGTTAAAAGATACTTCTATTGCTGCATGATTTACAAGCAATACTTCTATCAGACAGCAAACCACAGCTAGTTGGGCAAATACCAGTACTACAGATCATAGAATCACAGACTGGTTTGGATTGGAAGGGACCTTAAAGATCATCCAGTTCCAACCCCCCTGCCAGCAGCAGGGACACCTTCCACTAGACCAGGTTGCTCAAAGCCTCCTCCAACCTGGCCTTCATCCCTTCCAGGGAGGGGGCATCTACAACTTCCTTGGGCAACCTGTTCCAGTGTCTGACCCCCCTCACAGTGAAGAACTTCTTCCTAATATCTCATCTAAACCTCCCCTCTTTCAGCTTAAACCCATTTCCCCTTGTTCTGTCATTAACTGCCCTTATGAAAAGTCCTTCCCCAGCTTTCTTGTAGGCCCTTCAGGTACTGGGAGGCCGCTATAAGATCTCCCCGGAGCCTTCTCTTCTCCAGGCTGAACAGCCCCAACTCTCTCAGCCTGTCCTCACAGCAGAGCTGCTCCAGCCCTGGCATCATCCTGGTGGCCTCCTCTGCACTGGCTCCAGTAGGTCCATGTCCTTGTGCTGTTGGTGGCCCCAGCACTGGAGGCAGCACTGCAGGTGGGGTGTCAGGAGAGCGGAGCAGAGGGGCAGAATCCCCTCCCTCCCCCTGCTGCCCACACTTCTCTTGATGCAGCCCAGGACACGGTTATTGGCCTCTGGGCTGCAAGCACACATTGTCAGCTCATGTTCAGCTTCTCAACTTCAAGATTCAAGATTTCAGCTTGTTTTAAAAATCTGTATTTCAAATAAGCTCGGTTGCATGAGCCCATCGTGTTCCCCACAACCTTTCCTAGGTGATGTGGATAGTCAGATTTCCCCGCAGTGTAACAGTAATGGGTCCTTAGCTGCTGGAGAGAGAAGTGTGGAGTGTTTTAAGTGAAATCTGGAACTGCTGTGCTGTATGGTTCCCACAGGGCTGCAGAGTAATGGGGGTTGACAGACTTACTGCTTCCACTGCTGTGCTCGTGTCAGCCTCCAGGAACAAAGGAGATGCCAAGTCCCAAGGTGTAAACTGGTTTGCAGTGTGTGTTTTACTACTGTTGCTGGTCCTTGTTCTAAAGATAAGAAAAAGCAAGATGCAGGAATAGCTGCCTCCATCATATTGCTGTGTTCTGAGTGCATTTAGATTAACTTGCTATCTCAATTTTAATTTTTTTCCCCTTTTTTTTTTCCATATGCTTCAGTGATCTTCAGAGGCTTGGAGAACTGCAGTCAGAACTGGCAGGGATGGCAGATTTCACTGCAACTTACCTTCAGTGTCAGCTGCTCCTCATCAAGGTTTGACTTCATCTGGGTTTTTTTGGGCTGTTCTTTAAAAATACCCCCACTCCCTCCCTCCCAGTGGTGTGTTTTCATGTCTCAATCTTCATGCTGAAAACTGATGTATGATGAAAGCCCAGGTTCCCTGGATTTCTGTTGTTCCTGCTTCCCTTCCGTGGCAAATAATTTAGGCAGTAACCGTGCCAATGAGTACAGCAGTGCAGATCTCTGCTCTTGTACACAAGGGCTTATGTTTGCTCCTGCATTTTGCCAGCACAGAGTTTATTTTCTGACAGAAATCAGAATGGAGACAACTACTCTGTAGCCTTTTCTGTTAGGAGAGCGACTTTTCTTTGCTAGTGGCCACTGGAATGCTTTTTTTTTTTGCTAAACTGCTGCTCTAAGTGGAATTTTTATAGACAGTGTTTTGTAGGCAGCTTTTTTGGCACCAATGCCAAAGGAATTCTTTAGACTTGATGGAACAAAATCTCAGTCATGCTTTCTTTTTAGTGCTGGAGTGATCTATCTATGTGGTATTAGCAGATGAAGTGGCTCCTTTGGAGGCCACACCAACGACACTTTTCAAAGTCAGCTTCTTGCTGTAAACAGCAACTAATTTTTTTAGGTTCATTTTGCAAGCTATCAACTGGCAGTAGTATTTAAGTTAGTCTCCTGGCATTCTTTAGGAATAATTTATACACTTGTAAAACAAGAAGTAAAGCAAGCAACAAACAGGTTTCCAGCAGGGACTCGGTGAAAGCTTTGTTATGTAAAACCAAGGAGGGATTTCTGTTTCTTTGCTAAATGCTTAGCTGCCAGTTGGCAGATCTCACAGCAGCTCTCACATCTTTGGAACACGTTTCTCACCCAAAGAAAGTATTTTAGATGAGCAGTGTTACAGTTCAGTACGTTCCTAACTAAATTCAAAACTTTCACCAAAGCAAAATGTGCTGTTCAGGTAGAGGACCAGCATTTGGAGGTGGCTTTGTTGCCCTTCTCCAGGGTTTGGTTGGAGTGAATCCGTTTATGTTGGCTAAGAGAACGGTGGTTTGTGTGTCTGGTGGAGTGGGTAAATGCTGCACAAGCCATGCTTGGCTCAAGCTGTAGAACAGACAGTGCATCAGTGCTGTCCAGGAGTCAGTAACGTGACTGAAGTGAAAAGTAACTTGTAAAATCATTCAGTTTGGCCTTGACAGGCTGGAGAGGTGGGTCTGTGCAAACCTCATGGAGTTCAACAAGGCCAAATGCAAGGTCCTGCACCTGGGTCAGGGAAATCACAAGCACAGATAAAGGCTGACACACAGGGTGTCTTCCCTGCTCCCAAACCCATGCAGCACAGGGTTATAATGTTTAGACTGAACTGAGTATTGATCATAATTTCATGGTTTTCTTCTGTAGGCTTTGCAGGAGAAGCTGTGGAACGTGGCAGCTCCTCTGTACCTGAAACAGAACGCCTTGGCATCTGCTGCAGCAAAACAGGTGAGGTAGAAACATCTGGCTCTGTGTGGAGGCATGGCCTCAGATATGAGCCCTTCCTTGGCTCTGCACCAATAACATTGTCCTGATTTTTCACTGCCATAGTCTGTCCAAGTAAAATATATTCCCACTAAGTGTAGTAATTTAATGGGTTTAAGCTGAAAGAGGGGAGGTTTGGATGAGATATTAGGAAGAAGTTCTTCACTGTGAGGGTGGTCAGACACTGGAACAGGTTGCCCAAGGAAGTTGTGGATGCCCCCTCCCTGGAAGTGTTGAAGGCCAGGTTGGATGAGGCTTTGAGCAACCTGGTCTAGTGGAAGGTGTCCCTGCTGATGGCAGGGGGGTTGGGACTGGATGAGCTTTAAGGTCCCTTCCAACCCAAACCATTCTATGATTCTGTGATTTCTCTCATCTTCAAAAGATGGGTGGCGAGTGTGAAGGTTGATGACAACTGTAAAAAAGCAAACGTGGCACCCATCTTCCAGAAGAACAAGAAAGAAAATCCAGAGAACTGTAGGTTACTTGTCTTTACCTCACTTCTGGGGAAAGTTATGGACCAAATCTTCTTAAAAGCTCTTTCTAAACAAGTGAAGGTCAACAAGGTGATGTAGAACAGCCAAAATACATTTCCCAAGGCTTGACCAACATCACTGCTCTCTATGATGAGGAGACTGGTGCTGTGGACAAGGGGAGAGCAGTGGATGTTGGATCTCTTGACTTTAGCAAAGCCTCTGATGCAATCTCCCGTTGTTTCCTTTTCACCAAACTGGCAGAATTCTGGGTGATTAAGTGGGTGATAAGGCTCCTCCAAATTGAGGAGCCAGTTGATATGCTGGAGGGCATGGCTGCTGTTCAGTCTGCTCTGGACAGGCTGGGGAATTGGGATGACAGGAACCATGTGGAGATCCTGGTGGACAACACATTGAACATGAGGCAGTAAAGAAGGCCAACTGAATCCTGGGCTGTCTTAGCAAGAGTGTAGCCAGCAGATCTGGGGAAGTGATTGTTTTCCTCTGTTCAGCTCTAGGGACATCACATCTGGAGGGCTGTGTTGTGCTTTGGGCTCCCCATGGTGCTGACAAACTGGGGCATGTTCAGCAGAGGGCCACCAAGGTGATCAAGGCCTGGAGCACATTCCCTGTGAGGAAAGGTTGAGGGACCTGGGATTGTCCAGCCTGGAGAAGAGAAGGCTTCAGGGTGGATTTATTGCTCTCTGCCACTGTCTCACCATAGGATTTGGATGACACAGAGCCAGGCTGCTCTGGACAAGAGGCAATGGACATGAATTGGAATATGAGAAGTTCTGATTAGATGTAAAAGGGGGGAAATTTACCACAAAGGTGGTTAAATACTGTAACAGGTTGTCCAGAGAGGTGGGGGGAAACTCCATCCTTGGAAGTGTTCACAATTTGATGTGGCCTTGAGTAACTGCATCTAATTAGACCTGCTCTGAGCAGGGGACCAGGTTCTGACCAGGTGACCTCTGGAGGTCCCACCCAACCTGAGTTACTCTAATTCTGTGATGTATAAATTATCTGATCCTGGAAAAAAACTGAAGCTAAGCCCTAAGAAAAAGTACAAGAGACAGCAAGCTATTAAATAATCCAGAAACAAATCTGGAGTAAATGCAAGTTCATGGATCTGCTGGGAAACTGCTGACATTTGGAATCTTCAGTTAATGAAGCTGTAATAAGAGGCTGGTACTGCTGTGCATCAAAACCTTCTGTGCTGTTGACAGCTGTCCCCCAGGGATGAGCAGGAACAAAAGCCTTATCAGCTTTTAAAATCTTCTCTAATTGAACTGTCTGTCTTGGGTGCCCTTCTCAGTAACATATGAACCCCCTGGGAAGTTTTCTCTGTTGTGATTGTAAATGTAGATCACTTCCTCTCAGTGCAAGGTGAGGGAATATTTCCTGTTCAATAACTTGCAAGTTCTTGGCTTCTGTACAGTCATACTGAACTCAGCTGTCTTAATTTGAGCACTTCTTTGGAATACTTAAGCCCATCTATCCAACAGATAAAGTACAAAGAGTAAAACTGTGCCATATCCTGCCTAAGCTGCTAAAAATATATCTAAAATAACCCAGAATGATATTGATTTTGTGATAGTTCCCATCTTCAGCTGCGGTGCACGAAGCATTGATGAATGTAAAGTTGTTTTCAAGAGAACTTGTCAAATCTAGCTCCAAAAACTGTAAACCTGAGCAGGACCACTGTGGTGTGGACCACACTGTTGTGCTGCTCACGTTTTGTATTTCACAGTACCCAGTGAGAATCCGTGAGTGCTCTGCTCCAAGGAATTTAAAATGCAGTGTCAAAAGATAAGAGTGCTGCTGGAGGGAGTGCTTGATTTCAGTCCAGGTTTCATGAATTGTTTCTTTAATACAGCCAAGATAATCTTTTAGCATTAGGTGACACTTTACACCGTGAAGAATTTCACCGAAAGAATGAGACTCGTGGATTAAACTCTTCATTGGTATGAGGAAGAATTCCAGATTCTTGTGATCGTGCTTGTGCAAGAGTTTAACAGTCTGATGGGTTTTTTTTTTACTCCTGTGGTGTCTGTCCTGACAGATCTTGGAAGAAACTTATAAAATGGAGTTCATGTACAGCGGAGTGGAAAGCAGACAAGTGGTCATTATTCACCACATGAGGCTGCAGGCAAAGGCGTTACAGCTTATAGTGACTGCACGTACCACCAGAGGGTAAGGCTGACCTGGTAAAAGGACCTTCTTAGGGTTAACTGTAAGCTTAGTTTCCTTAAGCTTTGTTTAAAAAAACCAGCAAGGATAAATTAGAGACAGAAAACATCACAGCATGCCAGTAACCATTTGCTAAACTAATTGAGAATGAAGAGCCTTCGTTTGCCTTTGCTCTACCTGTCGGGTGGCACAGTGCCAAATTAAATGACAAAATTGTTCAGAAGACATCTTTAGGGGGTTGAGTTCTCTCAGCTATGAACATACAGCGTATAAATATATATCATATAGCTATGAACATATATGAGAGAGTTGGGGCTGTTGAGCCTGGAGAAGAGAAGGCTCCAGGGAGACCTTCTAGCAGCCTCCCAGTACCTGAAGGGGCTCCAGGAAGGGTGGGGAGGGACTTTGGCCAAGGGCAGGGAGTGAGAGAACAAGGGGTGATGGCTTGAAAGTGGCAGAGGGGAGATGGAGCTGAGATGTGAGGAAGAAATTGTTTGGTGTGAGGGTGGTGAGACAGTGTCCCAGGCTGGCCAGAGAAGCTGTGGCTGCTCCTCCCTGGAAGTGTTGAAGGCCAGGTTGGATGAGGCTTTGAGCAACCTGGTCTAGTGGAAGGTGTCCCTGCTGCTGGCAGGGGGGTTGGAACTGGATGAGCTTTAAGGTCCCTTCCAACCCAAACCATTCTATGATCCTGTGATGATATAAATAGGTTCAAAAAGTTGTAGAGTGTGTCTTAGAGCTGACATTTAGGACTTATTTAAATGAGGAAAATCATGTATCAAAGGATGTGCTGATTGCGTTTGCTTCATTATCAGTTGCAGAGTTTTTAGCATCAGAAAAGAATTGTCTTTTTGACCAATCTGCAACTCATGTTTGTGTGACTCAGACACAAAGTGCTCCTCTGTGCACGGCTGAGGTGACACCAGAGGCTCTGTGTTGTTCTTTGGGGCTGCTGAGGTCAGTGAGGTTACACACGGGGTTTGGATGGTTGTAGAATTAGAACTCTATTTGGCAGAATTAGAGCAAAGTGATTAGTATCCTAATTTGTTTACTTTTGTTTTGAGTTTGTTGCCATCAATTTACTGTGTTGCCATAGAGGTCCATGTTTGCCTTTTACCCTCTTGTTTTATAGGTGGAAAGTCAATATTGGCTTTGGGAACTTAATTTCTGCCTTATGCAAATGGTCTTTTTGTGGTCAGGGGATATGGTTGTGGGGAGAGAGGTGGCAATTAATTTTTATTTTTATTTTTTCTCTTTGTGAGGAACACTTTTCTGGCCTCAAAATTGTAAGATCTTGTCATTTTTAAGAGCTTGAACTAGATTCCAAAACAGCTAAATGTTTAGAACCATAGAGTGAGTGTTCTTTGTTTAAAATTAAAACAAGGAATGTTATCTTCATTACAGAGTGGAACCTCTTTTTGGAATGTGTGAAAAATTCCTACAAGAAGTGGATTCCTTTCAGAGGTGAGAAACTCCATTGCTTCTTCATTTTATTAGAAAGCCTCCCCAGCACTTTCCTCAGGGAATATTCCATTAATTTTTCATCTTTTCACATCTCCCTTCCCCTGTTGCTCTCCTACATCAGGGCCTGCTATCATCAGATGATGGTAAAGCAGGAAAGTAAACTCCCTTCTGAATGTGGGATCAATGAAAGACTTTCCTGGTTGAGCAGAATTCCATCTCTAGTTCTGATTAAATTCCCATTTATTTCTGATCCATATTCTTGGCAGTTTTGGTTAGTTTAGTGATAAGAAAAGGGAACCAAATCTGCCCATTCCCTAATTCTTACCTCATTTGGTGGTTGGTGAACAGAACTGTTCATTTGCTTGGTATCTTTTCCTCACACTGAGTCTTGGGATCAGCAAAACTCATCACTATTTCTCAGGAATGTAACTTGTTACGGGCAGTGATGAATTCCACAAAAGGAAGGCTGAGGGGAGACCTTCTAGCGGCCTCCCAGTACCTGAAGGGGCTACAAGAAAGCTGGGGAAGGACTTTTCATAAGGGCAGTTAATGACAAAACAAGGGGAAATGGGTTTAAGCTGAAAGAGGGGAGGTTTAGATGAGATATTAGGAAGAAATTCTTTGGTGTGAGGATGGTGAGACACTGGCCCAGGTTGCCCAGAGAAGCTGTGGCTGCTCCTCCCTGGAAGTGTTGAAGGCCAGGTTGGATGAGGCTTTGAGCAACCTGGTCTAGTGGAAGGTGTCCCTGCTGCTGGCAGGGGGGTTGGAACTGGATGATCTTTAAGGTCCCTTCCAACCCAAACCGTTCAGTGATAAATCTGGATGATGGTAATCCCTTCCAACCCAAACCATTCTGTGATAAAACTGGATGATGGTAGATCTTGTGAGTTAGCTGTAAGGTCACCTATAAAGGCTTGGACATATAAAATCCCTGTGTCTAGGTTGTGTAGCCTCAGCATGACAGATTTTAGCTGCATCCCATGACAGAGTAGCAGTGCAAAAACACCCCAGCAGATCCCCACTGTGCAGAGAGACCTGGATACTGCACCGGAGCAGAACCAAAAATAGCTGCTCTGTTGTGAGAATCCAGCACCACAGATGTCAGTTATTTGTGATTTCTGGTGATGAGGAGGGTTGTGTTTGCCAAAGCCGGGTGACAGGCACTGCAAAGTGTGGGTGGTTTCACCCACAGCTCAGACCATGTGGTCCTGCACTCACTCCCCACCACCTGGTGAGATGGGGATCAAAACACAACAAAGGGCTGGTGGGTTGGAATGAGGACAGGGAGGGCTCACTCACCAGTGATGGTCATGGACAAAACAGGCTTGGGGAAGAAGAATCAATTTAATTATTTACCAATCAATCAGAGTAGGACAGTGAGACACAACAACCACATCTGACACAGCTTCCCCCACCCCTCCCTTCTTCCCGGGCTCCAATCACTTTGCTCCCCATTTCTCTACCTTCCCCCCTAGTGGCACAGGGGACAGGGAATGGGGGTTCAGTCAGTTCGTCTCTGCTGCTCTTTCTGTCATGAGATCCTTCCCATGGGCTAAAAGAGTCCAGGAACAAGATGTTCCAAAGCAGCTTCCCATGGAGTCACAGACCTCTTTGGGCTCAGCCTCTGGCTCTGCCATGGGGACATCCACAGGCTGCAGATGGGTCTCCAGTCCAGCACCTCCTCACCCTACTCTGGCATGAGCATCTCTGGGGTCTCTGTGCTCAGTCACGCTTCTCCTCAGGCTCAGCTTTCTGCTCTGGCGGGGAGTCCTCCATGGCCTACATTTGGGTATCTGCTCCACCATTCAACTTCCACATGATTTTTCTCCACCCTTGCCAAGCTGGTGGTAGAGGCTTCTGTTTATGGATTATGAACTCCTGTAGAGCACCACCAGGATCCTAAAAAAAATCTCACTTTAGGACCTGAAGCTGTTTTGGACATGTCTGATATTCCTGTCCAGGCTTTATAGACTCAACTGTAGGTGAAGATAGAGCATAACACCAGGCTTGAGGAGCAGGGAGGAGAGTCTGTTGTTCAAGAGGCTGTTGTTCGCCTCCAGAATTGGTGCATTTTATTCACCAAATTGCACGAGTATTTACTAGGCTGACAAAACTGTGTGCTAAACACGACAGGAGCGTTGCTGATAACAACAGAGAAGCCACCAGTGACTCAGTCTAATGAACCATCTTCTGCATGCAGGGATGTAGGTTAATAACTC